CATATAATAGAATTAATAAACACAAAACACATACTGATCAAGGCATAATGATTCTTGAACCACGTTAGAAATTTTTAGTAATAGCAAATTCCTAAATTTTAACCAAAGGAATGGCAAAAATTGGTTTTATTTTCAAACTTAAATCAGTGAACAATCAATAATAGGACTGTCCGGTATATTATATAGTTGCTCTTTTCTGTCAAACTTCATAAATTGGGAGTATTCCTCAAATCTTCTCCCGGTGCATATTGGCATTATCAATATGCAGAAAATTATAAAGTTGATTGTGTATATTACTTTGGAGAAGAAAGTTTGTTGTCTTTGTTTATGGTCCATTTGCAATTCCATATTTTAGGATATAAAAAAGACATTTTGGTATTTATCAGACAAAATGGTTTCCTCTCAGAAAAAAAATCACTAACTCATAAGAAAATACTCTGAGATTCAGCTTGAAAATGTTTTAAACATAGTATAAGATAATAACATAAATATAAGAGGCTGGTTGATGTCATTATGTAACAGTTTTAAAATAAAAGTTCAACATTGACATAGCGTTCAGAAACAGTTTGCAGTTTGGCTCAAATGGAGTGTTTTTAGGATCAGGTTTCTTTCTCCACACTTAAAATCTGGGTCACTGAAAAATTTCCATCTCTCTAAACTTTTTGGACTAAAAATAATTTAACAAAGAAAAGAATGATGGACTTCTGAGTAGTTCAAAGGGCTGGATACTAATTATTTATCAGAAAGTTAATTAATCAAAAGCCTAGACCAAATTCTATTAAATGCTTGATTACTTAGTTTTTGCACACATAATACCTCAGCTCATCTTTTTTTTTTTTTCAATTAAGACTTTATATTTTTAGAGTAGTTTTAGACTCACAGCAGAATTAAGGGGAAGATAACAGAGATTACCTGTATTTCCCCTACCCTGAAACATGCACAGCCTCCCCCTTTATCCACATCCTCCACCAGAGGGGTACGTTTGTTACTGCTGTTGAACCTACATCGACACATCATAATCACCCAAAGGCCACACTTTACATTAGGACTCACTCTTAGTCTTGTTCATTCTGTGGGGTTTGGACAAATGCATAATGACATATATCCACCACTGTGGTATCATACAGAATAGTTTCACTGCCCTGAAAATCCTGTATGCTCTGCCTATTCATCCTTCCTCACTCTAACCCCTGGCAACCACTGAACCTTTTACTGTCCTTATGGTTTTGCTTTTTGTAGAATTTCATGTAGTTGGAATCATACCATGCAACCTTTTCAGATCCGCTTTTTTCACTTAGTAGTATGCATTTAAGGCTCCTCCAGGTCTTTTCATTGCTTGATAGCTCATTTCTTTTTGGCACTGAATAATATTCTATTCTCTGGATATACCACAGTTTATTTATCCATCACTCATTGGAGGACATCAACTTGGGTGCTTCCAAGTATTGGCAATTACAAATAAAGCTGCTCTAAACATCCGTGTGCAGGTTTTTGTGTGAAAATCCGAGTCTTCAGTTCATTTGGGTTAATCCGAAGGAGCATGATTGCTGGATCATATAATATGTTCAGTTTTCTAAGAAGCCACCAAAACTGTCTTCCAAAGAGGCTGTATGATGTTACATTCCCATCAGCAGTGCCTGAGAGTTCCTGTTCTGGATCCTTGTCAGCATTTGGTTTTGTCAGCATTCCAGATTTCTGGCCATTCTAATAGGGTGTGTAAAGACACCTGTCATTTCGCTGATGGCATATGATGTGGAGCTTCTTTCCATACGCTTTTTGCGTATCTGTATATCTTTTGTGAGATACGAATTAAGGCCGTTGGCCCATTTTTAAATTGGATTGTTTGTTTTCTTATTGTTAAATTTTAAGAATTTTAAAAATATGTTCTGGATGAGTTCTTTATCAGCTATATCTTTTGAAAATATTTTCTCCCAGTCTATGGTTTTTCTTCTCATTCTTTTGACATTATATTTCATAGAGCAGGAGTTTTTAATTTTAGTGAAGTCCAGATTATGAATTCTTTCTCTCAAGGATTGTGCCTTTGGTGTTGCATCTAAAGAGTCATCACCAGACTGAAGGTCATCTAGGTTTGCCTCTACGTAATCTTCTAGGAGTTTTATAGTTTTATAAGTTTTATAGTTTTAAGGCTGCGATCCATTTTGAGTTAATTTTTGTGACGGGTATAAGGTTTATAAGTTTTATAGTTTTAAGGCTGAGATCCATTTTGAGTTAATTTTTGTGACAGGTATAAGGTTTGTGTCTAGATTCATATTTTATGATGTGGATGTCCAGGTATTCCAGCACCACTTGTTGAAAATATTATTTTTTCTCTATTGTATTGCCTTGGACCTTTGTCAAAGATCTAGTGACTAGATTTATGTGGGTCTGTTTCTGGGCTCTCTGTTCCATTGATCTCTTTGTCTATTTTTATGACAATCCCACACCGTTGTGGTACTTACTGTAGTTTTATAGTATGTCTGGAAGTCATGTAGAGTTAGTTCTCCAGCTTTGTTCTTGTCCTTCAATATTGTGTTAGTTCCCAATATCTTGGGAAGAACTGAGATCTTGACAGTATTGAGTCTTCCTATCTATAAGCATGAGATATGTTTTCATTTATTTAGTTCTTTTGATTTCATTGATTGGAGTTTTGTAGTTTACCTCATATAGATCTTTTACGTATTTCTTAGATTTATATGCATTTCATTTTTCTGGATACTGAAATAAATGATACTGTGATTTTAATTTCAAATTCCACTTATTGTTTGCTGGTATATAGCAGAGCAATTGACCTTTGTATATTAACCTTGTATCCTGCAGTCTTAATAGTTCCAGGAGTTTATTTGTTGATTCTTTCAGGTTTTCTACATAGATGATCATGCCACCTGTAACAAAGACAGTTTTATTTCTTCTTTTCCAGTATTTGTATCTTTTACTTCCTTATCTTGTTGCATTAGCTAGAACTTTCATTATGATGTTAAAAAGCAACTGTGAGGGGAGCATCCTTGCCTTGTACCAGATCTTAGTAGGAAAGCCTCCAGTTTCTCACCATTGAATATGATGTTAGATGTGCATTTTTGGGGTAGATATTCTTTATCAAGTTGAGGAAGTTCTCCTCTATTCTTAGTTTACTGAGAGTTTCAAAATTCATGAATGGCATTGAATTTTGTGAAATGCTTTTTCTACATCTATTGATATATCAGTTAATTTTAAAAACAATTTTCTTGTGGCTGATATTGCTATATCCACTTTACAGATGGAGAAATTAAGGCTCAGCAGTGAAGTAACTTGCCAATAGGTCTCACAATTACTGGTGGAATTAAGTTTAAACCTACAATTATGACTTGCTCTACAATATGCTTTCTCCCAGTGCTTACTATCAATCCTGACTCATTGGCTCCAAGGTAGTAGGAAAAGTAGATTCTCTCATCATGAATATCACCAAACTAAACAGCCTATTAAGTAGTAAAATATAAACTTATTTTAAATATTATTTCAAATAATAATTAAAAAAATTTTTAAAGATTTTATTTATTTACAGAGAAAGAGAGAGAGAGAGCACACACAAGCAGGGGGAGCGGCAGGCAGAGGGAGAAGCAGACTCCCTGCTGAGCAAGGAGCCCGATGCGGGGCTCGATCCCAGGACCCTGGGATCATGACCTAAGCCGAAGGCAGACACTTAACTGAGCTACCCAGGCATCCCTGAAATAATAATAATATTAACAGTATTCTCATGCACAGATTTTGTATTTGTGAGTTTGCCTACTTGCTAAAATTTATTTGTAACCCCAAAATTAATACTGGAGACTCTTTCATGGTCATTTGCAGACATGTACAGAGTGGCAAAAGATTTCAGCCTCCAATGTACATATTCCAGGCTGAGGGCAGACAACGTGACACTCTGCCTTTTTATTCTAGCTCTCATACTGCAAACAGGTATCCTATTTGTGGTCTACTTAGTGCCAAGTTCTTTTTGCATTTTGTGTTTTTGTTGGTGATTTCGCTGTTTAAAAATGGCCCCCAAGTGTGGTGGTAAAGTTCTGTTTAGTGTTCCTAAGTGCAAGAAGGCTATGATGTGCCTTATGGAGAAAATACATGATACATGTGTTAGATAAGCTTTATTCAGTTGGTCATGAATTCAATATTAGTAAATTAACTATATATATTAAATTAAGTGTCTTTCAATGGAAACATACCAACAAATTATGAATTGATCAAGTGATGAAAATATTGTGACCAGGGGCTCATAGAAACATAACTCTGTATTTCCTCTCAGAACTATGGTTCAGTATCTGCTAATTTAGTATTTGCAAACACTTTATAGAGCATAAGTACCATTAATAACAAAATCAACCATTTATGATTTCACTGTCATGGTGTATTTGTAATGATGTGTTTACGGAAGTGAACTTCTTGCTTTTGGATTAAAGTTTCAGTGTGGTATAATTTTATTGGCTGTGCTCAACTCTGTTTATCCATCTTCTGTAAACCACTATGCTAGTTTTCTACTGATGCTATAACAAATTATCACAAGCTTAGTAGCTTCAAACACACAGATTTATTATCTTAATTTGGAGGTCACAAGTCCAAAATGGGTTTTACAGGGCTAAAATCAGGGTGTTGTCAGGATTGCCTTGCATCTGGAGGCTCTAGCAGAGACTCTGTTTCCTTGCCTTTTCCTGCTTCCGGAGGTGCTTGCATTCCTTGGAATATAGCCCCACATTACTCTGACTGCTGCTTCCATCATCATATCAAATCTCTGACTCTCCTGCTTCCCTTTTCCAGTTATAAGGATATTTGTTATCGAAAATGTCAGCTTGTAGCCCTGTCAATTCTGTGCTCCCCGGTCCCAATTAACTTAAATATAGTCTTGTTACAGAGTAAAAGACATTTGTCTTTGCATCTTGGAAGAATTGCTGATTAGGTCCACATCTGGGGATGGGGCAGTGCTCTAGTACTTATGGATGCCTTTACTGTTGTCTTGTTTTTATTCCTGTTTCTAGCCCTCAGAGCCATGTCAAACCATTTGCATGTCCAGAGAAGAGTTTATGCAAAGGATGACAGAGATTGTTGGTTGGGGCACAAAGGAAGAATATGGGGAGCTCTTTGACAAAGTGGATGTAGCCCAAGATGGCTTCATTAACTGGGACAAGCTGACTTCATTTATGCTGTTAGCACTTTATGAGAAAGACGAACGAGCAAAGGCAACTGTGGTTCCCCAGTGGAAAGACCTTGAATTCCTCCCAGTGAAGCACAAGGACACCATTCAAAAAGTAATTTTCTTAAAAAGTTCAAGTCGTTATCTGACCATCAGTAAGGAAGGCTTATTAGGAATCTGGGGAGAGAATTTAAAGCTGCAAGAAACACTTCCCATCACTTCAGATACCACCAAGCTTAAACACCTGTGGGTGACAAGTCTGGTTTCTCTGGAAAATGTAAACAAGGTACCAAATCTTAATAAATAAATTTACTACTTTATTTCTTTAAAGATTTTTTTATTTGTTTATTTGAGAGAGAGAGAGAGAGAGATCATGAGTGGGGGTGAGGAGGTAGAGGGAGAAGCAGCAGGGAGCCCGATGTGGGACTCGATCCCAGGACCCTGGGATCATGATCTGAGCCGAAGGAAGACGCTTAACTGACTGAGCCACCAGGCGCCTTAAATTTACTGCTTAAAAAGGGGAAAAAAATGATGAGACAGGCCTCCTGACCAATATCAAGTATAACACTGGCAGTGACAAAGAGCTGTAGTACCTCTCTGTGCCTCTCCTCTCACCTGGAGGGAATGCAAATAGAGCCAAGTGGGCTACTCGATTTCCCAAACTGGTTGCTTGGGCACCTTTAAAGGACACAGCTGATAGTGACTCAGATTCTTGGCTCTGTCCCAAATGTGGCCATGCTGCATTGCTGGCTCATAAGACGTTTCTGGACTCCATAGTTTGTAGTAGAATCATGGGTCTATATGTAGAGCTGAGAGGCTATAACAGTGCGTGGCACAACTCAATGCAATTACAGGGAATTGCTTATCTGATTTTAACCACTGTCCTAGTCAGTTTCTTAATTGTGATCGGGAGGGCCCACTAAGTACAAATATCCTTATATGACTCTACCTATAAGTAAGATAACATGTTGAAAGGAAAATCAATTTGTGAGGGAAGGATGAAGCTTAAAGAATCCATGTTCTTAGTATTTTATATTAAGCACATGGCAAACTTTCTATGAAAATTTTTAAATATACACACAAGCAGAGATAATAGTATTAAGAACCAATATTTACCCTTAACCATTTCCAATTCCAGCCAATCTAGTTTCATCTATATCTCCCTACTTTTGAAACCCAAGACATGCAATTATTTAGTCTGTAAATGTTTCATTTTTCTAAAAAAAAGTCTCCCTTTTTAGCATAATTATAGTACTGCTATCACATTTAAAATCAATTAAAGTAATTCCTTGCTATCATCAAATATTCAGTCATGTACATATTTTCTTGTCTGATAATTTTTAATAATCTGTGAATTCCTTGTTTGATAGTTTGTTTGAATTCAAATCTGAATAAGGTCCAAATCATTGTGAATTGTTGATGGGTCTATTTTGATCTACATGTTTTTCTTCACCTCTTCTTTATTGTTGCATTGTTTTGTTCTTGCTGTTGCTATTTTTGTTAAAGAAACGAGGTGTTTGTCCTTTAGAGTTTTCCACAGTCTGGATTTTGTGGACTGTATTTAGATAGGGTTGTTGAACATGTCTACTTGTTCCCCATATTTCCGGTATATTGGTAATCGAATCTAAAGACTTGAACAGTTTTAGAATGGTCTGTTCTGGAATAGGGGTTCCTCAGTCGGGAAGCACAAAATGCCTGTTCTCTCTTTTCTTGGGACATTATCAGTTATCACAATTATTCCTTGATCTATCAATTTGTTTAGGGGTTGCAAGATGATGACATTCTAGTTTCATCATTTCCTCTTTATAAGCTGAAATGCCTCTATAAAAAGAAATTCCCCTTGTCAATTATTCAGCTATAATGTACAAATCATAGACCAAAGGCAGGATAAATGAGTAATTCTTTATTTTATTTACCAGCATTCAAAATCCTCTAAAGATGAAAAATGAGTACTACTATCATTATTATTATCAGTATCATTATAAACTCATGAATTTAACCAGTTTGATTTGTTTCAATCCACTGAGTTATTAACCCATCCTTAAAATTGTATCATCTTTGGACACTGGGATGAATACAAGTCAGCTTCTGAGTTTTTTCTGATATAAGCATATTAGTCTTTGAAAGCTTCTTTACTCTCCGGTATGACAAAATGTTCCAGGATCATCTTCCATATTTATTATGCCAGACCCAGAATTGGCCATTTCTCCAAAGACCCGGGTTCTTTTTACTGGGAAATGGTATGCTCTAATGCCTTGAACATCATCATCGTCATCATCATTTGCTTCCTATGTGACATGCCCTGCTCTATTAATCTTCTCAAGATCACCATAAGGTAGATATTATTCCCACTTTAAAAATGAGAGACTATGCAAGGGGAGGTTGTGGAATTTGCCCCAGGTCACGCAGGATGTAATCAGTGTTGCAAAACTTGTAAACAGAGGCAGCTTGATTTCAGAACCTGTTTCAGAGTCTTTGCTGCCTCTAGAGTGGTCCAGTTCGTTCTTGCTAAGGATCGGGTGTTAATGTTAACCGTATGTATTACAACATAGTTCAAGCCCAGATTTTCTTTTGTATCTGTGTGTAGCATTCTATTATTATAATGTAATATTTGTGTTGTTATATTGTATAATGATTATGTTGCATTGTGTCTTCTTTCCAGGACTGATGACTAACTCTTAGCCTTTCCTTTGCACTTAGTCAACATGGAACTTTAAAGAATGCTGCTTTTTTCTTCTTTTCTCAAACAGCTTTATTGAAGTATAATTACACAAAATGCACTGCACATATTAATACCCAAGTGCATAGATTTTAATGCATTTAGATACTGTGAAAAATCAACAGTACAATGAAGATAATGAACATATCCATCCTCAAAAGTTTCCTCGTGCCCTTTTGTAATCCCCTGTCCAATCCCTCCCATCTCTCCTTGTCAGATAGCGACTGATATGCTCTCTGTCACCATACGATAGTTAGCATTTTCTAGAGTTTTATATAATTGACATCATACAGTGTGTACTCTGTTTGGTCTCACTTCTTTAACTTGGCTTGGTTATTTTGAGATACATCAGTAGTTTATCTTTTTATTGTGTAATATTTCATCATGTGGATATAGCACATCCTTACCAACATTTGGTATAATCAGGGTATTTTTTCCCCTCTTAATTTTAGCCATTTTAATAGTTTTTTTTTTTTAATCTTATTGTGGTTTGAATTCACATTTTCCTAATGACTAATAATATTGAGCATATTTTCATATACCGATTTGCTACCTATATATCCTCTTTGGTGAAGTATCTGTTAAAATCTTTTGCCTATTTTATTGTTGGGTTTATTTTGTTGAGTTTTGAGAGTTCTTTTTTTTAAAGATTTTATTTATTTATTTGACAGAGAGACAGCTAGAGAGGGAACACAAGCAGGGGGAGTGGGAGAGGGAGAAGCAGGCCCCCCCTGAGCAAGGAGCCCGATGTGGGGCTCGATCCCAGGACCCTGGGATCATGACCGGAGCCAAAGGCAGACACTCAACGACTGAGCCACCCAGGTGCCCCTTGAGAGTTCTTTATATATTCTGGATATATACATTTATCAGATGGATAATTTACAAATACTGTATCATAGCATGTGTTTTGTCTTTGTGTTTTCCTAAGACTGCTTTTGGTGATATCATTTTCAGATTGTTCATTACTAATGTATAGAAATACAATAGATTTTTTTAAAAATGATCTTATATCCTGCAACTTCACTGAACTCATTTATTGGTTCTGATCATTTTTTCTTGTTATTATTTAGGATTTTCTATGTTTAAGATCGTGTCATCTACTAATAAAGATAGTCTAACTTCTTCCTTTCCAATCTGGTTGCTTTTATTCTTTTTCTTGCCTAATTTCCCTTCCTGGAAATTCCAGTGTGGTGTTGAATAGTAACGGTGTGAGTGAACATCCTCATCACATTCCTGATCTTAGGGAGAATACATTCAGTTTTCCACCATTAAGTATGATAGCCGCTGTGGGTTTTTTGTATATATCAAGTTGAAGACGTTTCCTTCTGTTACTGGTTTATTGAGCCTTTTTTTTTTTTTTCCATGAAAATGTGTTGGATTTTGTCTAATGCTTTTTTGGTGTCTATTGAGATAATCATATAGTTTTTGTCATTGATTTTATTAATGTAGAATATTACATTGACGATATTTGTATGTTAAAGTAGCCTTGCATTCTGGTATAAATATAACTTGGTCATGATATGTAATTTTTTTACATGTTGGATTCTCTGCTAATGTTTAATTGAAGATTTTTATATGTATATTCATTAGGGATATGGAGCTGCAGTTTTCTTACGATGTCCTTGTGTGGGTTTGGTCATAAGACAGTATTGATTTCATGAAATGATTTGGAAAGTATCCCCTCCACTTTTTCTTTTTCTTTTTCTTTTTCTTGGAAGAGCTTGAGAAGCATTGGTATTAATTCTTCAAATGTTTGGTCACATTTATTAGTGAAACCATCTGGGCCTACGATTTTCTTTGTGAGAATTTTTTTTAATTACAAATTCAATTATTTTACTTATTATATGTCTGCTGAGATTTTCTATTTGGTTTTGAGTTAGTTTAGGTAATATTTTTGTCTCAGGAATTTGTCTAGGAATCTCATCTAGGTTATCTACTTTGTTGGCCTTCCACTGTTTCTGATATTCTCTTATAATCCTCTCTTATTTCTATCAGGTCATTAGTAGCGTACTCTTCTATGGCTTATTTTAGTGGTATATATTTTCATTCTTTTTTTTTTTAAATCTTGGGTTGGTTCAGCTGAAGTTTTGTCAATTTTATCACCAAAGTTATTTACCCTTTTAAAAATGGTTTTGGGATTTTATCTGACTTGTGAACGCTACTTACAGAACTTTTATGAAGTGCTTTTTATGAAAACCTCTGCTTGCTTTGTAAAGCATGGTTTGTAAAGCTTCTGGTATGACTGTGTGATGCTGTCGCCCTCTGTCTTTGTTTCTTCTATGGGATTAATCATCTCAGCTCCCATGGACGGCAGAAGTTGGCAGGTGTGTGAAGCGGGGGTACGGAAGAAAGTATGTTCAAATGCCTTTAATGGGAAGAATTTTTTTCTTGGCTAGCACCCAAAGTTAGAATAAAGTTTACTTGTGTCACCATGCTATGTTTCTGTAATACTGTCAGTGACCCTTAGGGAACAGTGTCTGCTTTGGTGCTGAGATTTGCATATTTCCTTTGTATACCCATTTCATTAAATTCATCAGAAATACTTTTTGATTTTCTATTTACTACTCTAGATAGCAGTGGCTTTTACGAGTAAAGAGATTTGTTTCTATGATCTGCTGTCCAAAGGAGAATTTCCTTGTCAATATAAACTCCAAGGCCTGAAAGGAACTCCAATTTGTATGGAATATTGGTATGACCCCCTTGATGCCAACGAATCAGTTCTTTCTTTTGGGGACATAACTGGAAAGGTAAGTGAGGGAAGGGAAGATTGAACTATGGATTTAAATATCAAACTGTAGCCCAGTATAGAAATAGAATACAAAGGGGGTGACCTCTGAACTTACAGATTATAAGCCCACACACGCTGGGCATGGAAAAGATGGATTAGGTCACAGTTCCTTTTCTTGCTTACAAGGACAATCTTCGTGTGGTTTTCTTGCCAATTATTAGAAGTTATCTCTTATAACTCTTTCAAGTTAATTATTCTGATTTTCATTCACAAGGCTTCTTTCTGCCAGCCTCCTGGGCAGTGCTTATTTACCGTATCATGTAACATCAGGATAGATGCATTGGAGAGGGCAACAAAGAAACCCAGACATTAGGACGCCTGGGTGGCTCAGTCGTGAAGCGTCTGCCTTCGGCTCAGGTCATGATCCCAGGGTCCTGGGATGGAGCCCCATGTTGGTCTCCCTGCTGGGTGGGAGGCCTGCTTCTCCCTCTCCCACTCCCCCTGCTTGTGTTCCCTCTCTTGCTGTGTCTCTCTCTGTCAAATAAATAAAATCTTTAAAAAAAGAAAAAAGAAACCCAGACATTGGATATGATGATTCGGCTTCCTATCACATCCCACCCAACCGCTACAAGATTATTACTTGCTGAATGACACGAGAATATGCCCTTGAGCTCTGAAGTAGTCTAATTTGGACAATTTCCTTTCCTAATTGTGAAAGCTTTGCATTCTTTGTGTGTTTAATAACAAGTGTATCATAAAGGCAAATAATGAACTGGCCTCGGTAATTGCTTTACCAACATGGTTGTTGTTCTGTCTTTTACTATAACTGCCTGCATCCTTTAAATAATATTGAGGAAATTCCCATTAATTCAGTATCTGTTCCTTATTAATCTTAGGGAACATCGAATGTTTTGCAACAATGACACTGTCCATGTTTGTTTTCCTTTCAACATCCCTGTTAAGGTTCAAGCAATTGCTTTCACGGTGGCCTTGATTTCCCTGTTTGAGTGTCCTGCTAGTGCACATGAAGATGGAGAAGCCACAGTGACCATCAGCTGGGCAGAACTGCTCTCTGGATATCACAAATGTTGCTACACATTAGAGCATAATCTTCATCATGGAGACTGGGTCAGGCAAGGTACTGAATTTGAACAGTAATGAAAGAATTGGTCACCTTCAACTTCCACATTTATATTCTTTGATGAAAATGTTTCCCACAAAATGTTAGTCTCAAAACCAGTAATTGGTTCTCGGGAGGTTTTGGCCTGGACTGTCTGTAGCTCCTGTACGCTAGCAGGAATTTCTTTCTCTCTTTTCTTTCCTTCTAAAATGTAATGCAATTAATTCAGGGGAACTGTGCACTCAAGACATCTCAAGAGAGGAGAGAAAATGGTCACAGAATCCATTTAACTTCAACCCAACTCTGATCCTAAAAATCTCCTCTAGTCCTATCTGGGGCTGCTCAGTGAGAGAACATAACAAGTTTCCTCAAAACCACTCCTTTGTTTTCCTCACGTTTTCATGAAAGTATGTTAGTTTGATTGTCTTCAAAATGGATCGTCTTAATTTTCTTTTTTTTCTCTTTGCTGATGTAATGACTGAGTTCCCATGATCTATAGTACTTGAGCAGTAGCTCTCTGTGTGATAGGATTATGTTGTAAAACAGCATCTATGGAAAGCCAGAACTTTCTTAAAACCTTGTCACCAGTGAGTTTGCTAGTTTCACAATATATCTATTTTTTTTTACAAAATTTGCATGTGATGGTTCAAGATCCACATGTGCAATATCTCTTCTAATATCTCTTTTGGTCCAGATGCTAAAGACTATGGTCATTTTTTCACTTCTAAATTGCTGCATTAAATTATGCCCACTGAAAGGAATGGAAACTAACAATCTCTTTGTTATGTCGTAGTTCTATTCCTAATATACTTTGAAGGGGAGACAGTCAAATGGACCCAGCTGTTGGCCATTATAGTGGTTTTGCCCTCTTTGGGGTCTAGGAGGTTGCAACTAATTCTTTAATTCATGACCCACATAGTAATATCCCACATGATGAACTATAGTTTCTGTATTTTTTTTCTTCAATATACATTATATCATGTCTTTGGTACCTTCTGCGTATCCTTTAATTCTGGCATGATATTGAATGTGGGAAAAACAAAAGATGCTATTTTTTGGTTATCTACTATGTGTCACAGGCACAAAATTATGTGTTATGTTTGCATAACATGGAAACAAGAATCACAGTATGAGAAACTGTACAGAGCTATTGTAGCTGCTTCCAAATGAGCATGGTACTTGAAGGATAGTTGGCACACAGTGTTGCATTAGTTTCAGGTGTACAACACAGCAGTTCCACAAGGCTATATGTTACACTGTGTTCACCACAAGTGTAACTGCCATCTGCTACCATACAGCGCTATTACAGTATCTTTGACTTTATTCCCTAAGCTGTACCTTTTATTCCCATGATTTATTCATTCCGTAAGTGGAAGTCTGTATTTCCCACTCTCTTTCACCCATTTTGCCCATCCCCCACCCCCAGCAAGCATCAGTTTGTTCTCTATCCTTATGGGTCTGTTTTTGCTTTTTGTTTGTTTGTTTATTCATTTGTTTTGTTTTTTTTAGATTCCACATATAAGTGAAATCATATGGTGTATTTCTTTCCCTGTCTGATTTATTTCACTTAGCATAATGTCCTCTAGGTCTATCCATGTTGTTACAAATTGGAAGCTCTCGTTCTTTTTTATGGCTGAGTAGGTGTGTGTGTGTGTGTGTGTGTGTGTGTGTGTACCAAATCTTTTTTTTAAATTATTTTTGTATTATGTTAATCACCATACATTACATCATTAGTTTTTGATGTAGTGTTCCAAATCTTCTTTTTATTGCAAGTAATGCAAGAAACATAGAAGTGCATATATCTTTTTGCATGAGTGTTTTGGGGGCTTTTTTGGGGTAAATACTTAGTAGTAGAATTCCTGGATCATGGTGTTTCTATTTTAACTTTTTGAGGAACATCCATACTGTTTTCCACAGTGGCTGCACCAATTTATATTCCCACTAACAGTGCACTAGGGTTCCTTTCTCTCCACATCCTCACCAACACTTGTTATTTCTTCTCTTTTTGATTCTAGCCATTCTGACAGTATGAGGTGATATCTCATTGTGGTTTTAATTTGCATTTCCCTGATGATTAGTGATGTTGAGCATCTTTCCATGTGTCTGCTGGCCATCTGTGTGTCTTCTTTGGAAAAATAACTATTCATGTCCTCTGCCCATTTTTAATTTTTATTTATTTATTTATTTTTAAAGATTTTATTTGACAGAGAGAGACATAGCGAGAGAGGGGACACAAACAGGGGGACTGGTAGAGGGAGAAGCAGGCTTCCTACGGAGCAGGGAGCCCAATGTGGGGCTTGATCCCAGGACCCCGGGATCATGACCTGAGCCGAAGGCAGACGCTCAACGACTGAGCCACCCAGGCGTCCCTCTGCCCATTTTTTAATTGGATTATTATTATTTTTTGTATTGAGTTATATAAGTTCTTTATATATTTTAGATACTAATTCCTTATTGGATATATCATTTGCAAATATCTTCTTCCATTCAGTAGGTTGCCTTTTCATTTGTTGATGGTTTCCTTTGCTGTGAAAAATCTTTTTATTTTGGCACAGGTCCATTAGTTTATTTTTGCAAGCATGATATTTTAATATATAAAACAAAGACTAGATTCACTATAGTAATAAAGTAATAGTTCCTAAAATCTACTTGTAATAGGCTTCCTGAAGTTTGGAGTATCATTTGAGTTCCATGACCTTAAATTAATATGGCTACATAGAAGTAGCTAACAAAATTCTGTTATTGAAAAGGTTGGGCATATAACCAAGTACAGTTTAAATTGATATTATTTTCTCTGAATATGAAATACAAAATACTCTCTCAGAGAGAATGAAACGTTCCACTCTAGACCTTGTCATAGTTTCATTTAAACCTCTCCAAAACCGACTCTGCTGTAAAGTAACCACTTATAAATCTGTTAAGTCTGTAAAGTTGCAGGACAAGGATTTTTCTATAGGTCCATGTGAAGTCATTGCTTATCATGTTTCCAAAATATAATACTGATCTTTTGTTCCCTCATCTACTGACTAAAGAACATGGGGAACTTAGTTTAGTATCAGCACTATAACTCATGTTTATGACCAAAGAAATCCAACTTTGGAGTCTGGCTTCTTAAATCACTGCAATTAGGAATTGGCTATAAAAAAGTTTTACATGTAAAAGAAATATCAGGGATCTTTGCTATCTAATTTGGATTACACATTTCTTAGCTCTGTGAATCAAAACTCATTGTAATTAAGTGAATAATTTTTGGAAAAATAGGTGAAAATATATTTACTTTAGTCAGTTTATTTGAATTGCGGACTCAATGTGTCAATCAATCAACAATTATTTATCTTTTATGTGATTTAAAACTGTCTTAGGCATTGGAGACTGTAGAAGAAAGATTAATTATAACCTCAAGAAACAGTATATGAACAAGAATTAAAGACTAATATAAAATAATTTATTAGAACATTGTACATGTGTCTGTTAGCCATTTGTATGTCTTCTTCAGATAAGTGTTTTTCATGTCTTCTGCCCA